CCACTGCACTCCAGTCTGGGCGACAGAGTGAGACTCCAACTCAAAAAAAAAAAAGTCAAAGTCAGCAAGATGTCACCGCTCAGAGAGTGTTAACATTTTGGTGCTGTTGCTTTAGGAAGGCTGCGTGCGCTTACATGTGTGCATGCACACAGACACACAGACACGCAGACATGCATGGACATGGACGGATATACACGCAGACTCACACAGACACACACAGATGCAGACATGCAGAAACACACACAGACACACACAGACACGGACATGTACAAACACACAGACACACACAGACACAGAAATGCAGAAACACACACAGACACACACAGACACAGACATGTACAAACACACAGACAACCCACAGATACAGACACACACAGACACACCCAGACACGCGACACACACAGGCACGCACAGACCCACTCAGACATCGACACACACAGACCCACAAAAACACGCACAGACACTAACAGACACAGATGGACACACACACACACACACACACACACGGACACAGACACACCCACAGACCCAGACGCCCGCTTGCAGTGCAGGGCCCATCCTGGACGGCCGTGCTGTTTTGTAACCATGCCCCAGCAGCTGGTCCCAGAGTCCCCGACACCTGCTTCCCTGGTGGCTTCCGGGCACCCAGACACTGCAGTGGAACCATGAGGGGCTTCTGACAAGTGCACCCCCCGCCACGTCTCGGGGGTGGCCTCGGAGGCCGCCTTGTGGCCGTGTCTGCCTGTGAGACCCTCTCCCGCCATAGAACTGCGCCGTGGCTGATCTCAGGGTCCCCGTCGGCAGGCGTGCCTAGTGCCCCCACCCGTGCCCATTCACTCTGTGTCTTCTTGGGGGCGGGTCGCTCAGGCGGAGGGCGTGGGCCGCCTATCCCAGGGCGCGAGGCTTAAGCCCAGGGATTCTCAAAGCTGGTCCCAGGCAGCAGCTGCCGGATCACCTGGCGCCCGGGAGAAATGCACATTCCCAGGCCCAGCCCAGGCCTGCTGACCAGAAGCCCTGCGACTGGGGCCTGGCAACCTGGGTTCCACGAACCTCTGGTGGTTCTGATTTCTGCTCGAGTGGGAGGACACCTGTCCTAGGTCTGCACCATCCACACAGCCGCCACTGCCCACGTGTGGCCATTTACACTAAATACTTTGAAATTAAAGTTGAAGTCGGTACCTTGGCCGGGCACGGTGGCTCACGCCTATAATCCCAGCACTTTGGGAGGACGAGGTGAGGGGATTGCCTGAGCTCACGGGTTCAAGAACAGCTCGGGCAACTTGGCGAGACCTTGTCTCTACAATCAATCAAAAAATTAGCCGGGTATGGTGGCACATGCCTGTGGTTCCAGCTACTTGGAAGGCTGAGGCAGAAGGATTGCCTGAGCCCGTCAGGTCGAGGCTGCGGTGGCCGTGTGCATGCCACTGCACTCCAGCCCGGGTGACAGTGAGACTCTGACTTGAAAAAAAAAATTAGTACCTCAATGGCACTGGCCATATTTCAAGTGCTCAGTGCCCACGTGTGGTTCTGACTACGGTATTGGCACAGACAGGATGTCCCCACTGTTCTAGGACTTTCCAGAAAGGATAAGCCACACCCCATGCCCGCCCTCTCTTGAATTAGCAGAACCTCCGCGGGCATAGGAGGGGCCTGAGGTTTCCGGGGCCCCTTGAAACGGACAACGTCAGTCGTCATGGCTCCTCAAAGCGGGCTCCCTTGGGTGAGGCGGGTGGGCGCCCACGCTCCTCACGGTCTGACTCTCTCCCCGCAGAACGAGATCGTCCTCTTGCGATCCCAGCAGAAGACGTCCCAGGATGCCAGCCGCTCGGTCCTGAGGGAGCTGGAGGTGAGGGGCTGGGAGGGAGGCGGCGGGAGCCTTGGCGGTCTCTCTGTGAGCCGGGCATTCTGCTGGTGATTCTCGGGAAGGGGCGCTCTGCCCCGTGACCTGAGACATAGGAGGCGCATGCACATGCACACGCGCACGTACACACACACACACACACACACACACACACACAGACCCACCCAGACCCATAAAGACACCCACAGATAGACACACACACACACCCCCCCACACACAGACACACCCACACACAGACAGCCACACAGACACAGACACATACACTCAGACCCGCACAGACATCGACTCACACAAACACAAACACAAGCACACAGAGACACACACAGACCCACACAGACACACACTGGCCCCGGTCACAGCCACACACATCCTGCCCCTTCGTCCCATACCGTGGTCGCTACGGGTGTCACTGTAGAATTTCGTCCCTGGGTCCCCTTCCTCCTTGCCAAAGACCCCCCGTTTCGGGGAGTCCCCCCAGCCCTCGGGTCTTAACTTCCCCCCAGACGGGGCCTCCAGACGCACCCCTGCCTCAGCCTTTCCTTCTCTTCCCGCCATGTCCTGGCTGTGCCCTGTCCTCAATCAGTGACAGCAACTGCACGCATTTCTTGAGCAGCTACTGTGTGCTGGGCCCTGGGCTAAGCACCACACCGAGGAGCTGGGCTGTCATAGGAGCTTTGAACTGTCCTCAGCTGCCAGTCACAGGGACCCGGCATATCAGTGACCTCAGCAAGATAGAAGTGTGTTTTCTGTGTCAAGAAGTAAGTCTAGAAATAGGACTGCAGGGCAGGTGTGGCACCTTTAAGGTGTCACCAGTGACCCAGGCTCCATCTCGCTTTCTGTTTTGCCATCTCTAGTGTGTGGCTTACGTTCCAAGGGTGCCTCATGGTGGCATCAAGGCTGCCACAGGTCCTGCTGTCGCATAGACACCCAGACAGGAAGAAAGCGGGGGAGACAAGGAAGGCCTTGCTGGCCGGGTCAGCCAGCATAAAGTGCTTTCCCAGAAGTCTCAGCCAGTGGCTTCTCACGGGCCCTCCCTATTGCAAGAGAGGTTTGAAAAAGTGACTTCTGGCTGGTCACATGGTCACTCTAGCGACAGTCAGGGTTTTGTTATCAAGGTGTAAGGGGAGAGCGGATGGAAAATGTCTGACAAAGACGCACACACAGAGTTTGACTTCAAAGCCCTGTGCTTTTTTTTTTCCCCCAGAGTTGGCGTCTCTGTCACCCAGGCTGGAGTGCAGGGGCACGCTCACGGCCACCGCAGCCTCGACCTGCCAGGCTCAGGTGATCCTCCCGCCTCTGCCTCCCAAGTAGCTGGAACGACAGGCATGCACCACCACACCTGGCTAATTTTTTTGATTTATTGTAGAGACGAGGTCTCTCCAAGTTGCCCAGGCTGGTCTCGAACCCCTGGGCTCAGGCCATCTTCTTGCCTCGGCCTCCCAAAGTGCTGGGATGACAGGTGTGAGCCACTGCGCCCCGCAGCCCTCTTCTCAGGCGACATTCCTGGCCCGCGAACTGCGCCCGGGGCCTGTCCCTCCTCTGCGACGTCTTTCTGTCCCTCCACGCACACCGGGGAGACGGGGCTGGCCACCGGGTGGCAGCAGAGCGCAGGCTGCAGGTCGGCCGGGGAGGGCGGCCCAGCCCAGGCGGCATCTCCCCGGAGTGCGGCCCCCTGTCCAGGGCGCGGGTCCAGGGAGACCCTCCCGATGCCGGGCGCGTGCCCGGGGTCGCGCGGCCACCACGCGGGGCCCCCGCGCGCAGGCTCTTCTCTCGGTGAGACCGGCGCTGCTCTAGGGGGTTTGGAGAGGCTGTCGGGCGACGCACCGCCCTCCCCCTATCCCTCTCCTCCCCACCTCTGGCCTCCGCCCTACCCGGCCTCCCAGTCTCTTGGCTTCCACGTGACTCTGGGGGGGGGGTGTCTTTTCGAATGCAAACCCTCGACGTGACTCAACAGGGGGCTCTCGGGGCGTCTCACCCACCCACTCGACCCTCAGACCTTCCCAGTCACCTCCCACCCCTCGGGGGGGGTGATCAGGACCCTTCCCATGGCGGGAGGGTTTTGCCACCAGGCCCTGGGACTCTCAGAAAATAAGTCACTTCCTAGCCGGGCTCAGTGGCACAGCCTGTAATCCCGCGCTTTGGGAGGCTGAGATGAGTGGATTGCCTGAGCGCGGGGTTTGAGACCCGCCTGGGCAACTTGGCGAGACCTCATCTCTACAATAAATCAAAAATTAGCCAGGCGTGGTAGCGCACGCCTGTAGTTCCAGCTACTCAGAAGGCTGAGGCGGAGGGATCGCCGGAGCCCAGCAGGTCGAGGCTGCGGTGGCTGGGAGTGGCCACTGCACTCCAGTCTGGGCGACAGAGTGAGACTCCGACTCAAAAAAAAAAAAAAAGAAGTCACTTCCTAGCTGTGTGGCTTGGAGGCAGTGACTTAACCTCTCTGGGCCTCCATTTCCCCATCTGCAAAAAGGGGAGGATAACTGTACCTACTTGTTGGGACTGTGAAGTTTGGAGAAAACTGAGCGCACTTGGCCCGCTGCAGTGCAGAGAGCTGGGAGTGGTGGCTGCCATTTGACTCAGAAAAACTCAGAACCCTGGCTTTGTTACTCAATCATTGTCCAAGGAAAGAGTCGAGCTCGAGGTCGGGCCCTTAGACGGGCTCAGTGCAGGGAAACCAAACACGAGTTCACTTTTCTTCTCTGACCTCAATGAAAACTGGGCCAAGCGTAAGGCTGAGTTGAGATGATGTGTGTGAACCCCTGGACCGTTGTAGGAGCTGAGCACGTATTACCACCATCACATCAGGCTGAACGTTGACCTGGTTGTTTTTTTTTTTTTTGAGTGGGAATCTCCCTCTGTCTCCCAGGCTGGAGTGCAGTGGCATGCTCACGGCCACTGTGGCTTTGACTTGCTGGGATCAGGTGATCCTTCTGCCTCAGCCTCCCAAGTAGCTGGGACTACAGGCGTGCCACCTCGCCCAGCTAATTTTTTGATTTATCGTACAGATGGGGTCTCGCCCAGTTGCCCAGGCTGGTCTCGAACCCCTGGGCTCAAGCAATCCTCTCACCTTGGCCTCCCAAATTGCTGAGATTACAGGCATGAGCCACCGAGCCCGGCCTGACCTGTTTTAAAAATGAATCATGGCTTTTAAAAATACGTGATGTATACATGTGTATATATATATATATTTATATATACACATATATATTATATACACATATATATTATATACACATATATATATATTTAAGAGTCAGGGTCTCACTCTGTCTCCAAGACTGGAGTACAGTGGTGTGATCAGAGCTCACTGTAATCTCAAACTCCTGGAGTCAAGCGATCCTTCTACCTCTGTCTCTCGAACAGCTGGGACCACAGGTGTACGCCACCGCACTGGCTGATCATGTGATCTTTTATTACGCCTTTAGAGAGGGCGGCTTTTGCTGTCCTTTGGGGACTCTGTAGCCCTGGGAACTGGCTATTCCAGTCGCCAGGCAGAGGAAGCCTCCTGATGTGGAGGTCGCGAGACGGAATTCAGATCCTGGCTTTCCTCTCTTGGCTGTGCCTTGGTGCCTCAGTTTCTTCACCTGAAACATGGGGGTGTCGGCAGGGCTGCCCCTTGGGGATTGCTATGTGAGGGGTGCACATAGAGCCCCCCCCGGGGGAAGAGGCTCCCCCTTGTAAGCAGAGGGTGCAGAGGGAGAGGCAGCGCTGGCTGAAAGTGTGACCAACAGGCACCCCTGGACCCCCGTGGCATATCCGATGCCTGGAAGGCTTAGAACCCTGATGCCTGGGATGTCCCAGACCCGGGGAACTCAGCTCCCGAGGGTGGGGTGCGGGTGACAGGTATTTTTAAAGCTCCCAGGGAGTACCAGTGGAGGCCAGAGTTGAGACCCAACAGACTGGCAGAGGTTGTCAGACTCAACATGCATTGGTGCCCTCGGGAGGCTTGTTCAGTCCAGCTTTCTGGGTCGCCCAGAGCCTCCACTCCTGTGGGTATCTAGGGGGGCCTGAGAATGTGCATTCTCCCCAGTTCCCTGGGGAATCTGATGCTGTCTGTCAGGACCACACTTGAAGAACTACAAACTAGGGCAGTGTATTTCAAACTGTGAATGGTTGTGGCACAGTGGCGTACACCTGTAATCCCATCACTTTGGGAGACCAAGGTGGAAGGATCGCCTGCGTCCAGGGGTTGGAGGCTGCACTGAGCTATGATTGCACCACTGCACCCCAGCCTGGGCACAGAGCAAGACCTTGTCTCTAAAAAAAACTCCCCCAAATTGTGAGTGGTGACATCCGTTTATCGGATGGCAGCTAGCATTTAAATCAGCAAAACAGAACAGGACAGCATAGAAAATATTAGAAAACACCCAAGGGCATTGATTTGTGAAACGTTAATTTCACTTGATGAGATAATAGCTAGACAGATATTCACACATATACAATGTATGTCTGTGTGTCTGCATGTATTGGGCTACAGTACTTCCTCCTATGGGCCACCATTTTTAAAAAGTTGGGCCATTGCCTTGCTAAGCTATGGTGTGACCATGTACTCTTTGAGCTACGGCCAGGCCATATTTTCTTTTCTTTTCTTTTTTTTTGAGTTGGAGTCTCACTCTGTCGCCCAGACTGGAGTGCAGTGGTCGCTCCTGGCCACCGCAGCCTCGACCTGCTGGGCTCCAGCGATCCTTTCCGCCTCAGCCTTCCCAGTAGCCGGAATTACAGACGTGCGCTACCACGCCCAGCTGCTTTTTTGATTTATTGTAGAGATGAGGTCTCGCCAAGTTGCCCAGGCGGTCTCAAACCCGCGGGCTCAGGCAATCCACCCACCTCAGCCTCCCAAAGGCGTGGGATTACAGGCTGAGCCATGGAGCCCGGCTGGGCCATGTTTTCTTAAGCTTTGGCCTCTTCCTCTTCCTTGGGGAGGCAAATCCCTCCTCTTTCTTTCTCCAATTTACTTTCTACATAAACTATATTTTCTAATCTAAAAAAAAATTCAATCAGGAGCCTCTAAAAAATATTGTAACCTACCCACACGTGGTCACACATGCTTACATGTCAGTGAGACAAAACTCCCGGCGCGGTGTCTGCCCAACGCCCTCACGCCCCTGGCGCTCTCTCCCCTCTTCCTTTCTGGTCTGTTCTCTCTTGTTTCGTTTCTTTAAAATGCAGTGGAAACCCCCTAAACTTGCCTCGGGCCCTGCAGGGGTTTGAAACCCTGCAGCGTGGAGACCCTGTCCCCAGAGGGTCGCACGCAGGCCCCCTTGCCCAGAAGTCCCCCTAGCAGGCTGACCCGCGGTGGGCATTGGGGTCTGCCACAGGAGAAGCTGAAGAAAGTCAAGGAGGAGGCGGATGCCTATGCGAACACGCATGCAGAGGTCAGCAGGACCCTGGAGCTCCTCGCGGACGCGGTGGAGAAGTTGTTTATGAAGGCCGGCTGCGATGCCACCAGCATCCTGGGGCAGCTGGGGCAGACGGGCAAGGTCACCAGCACCAACCTCCTGCAGTATTTTGGTGAGTCGGGCTGGGGCCCATCAGATGCGTAGGAACCACTTCCAGAACTTTCTGAGACCAGGCGCGAGGCTTGTTCTCTGGAGGTCGTGAGCCTGGCGGGGAAGTGTGCAGGCATCCGACCGCCTGCCTGGGATGGAATCATGATCCTGCCTTTTTGAGCTGCGGGACCTCGGGCGGGTTTCTGAACCTCGCTGTGCTTCTTTTTCTCATCTTTAAAAACCCCAACTCAAGCCGGGCTCGGTGGCTCAGCCTGTAATCCCACACCTTTGGGAGGCTGAGGTGAGTGGACTGCCTGAGCCCACGGGTTCGAGACCCACCTGGGCAGCGAGACCTCATTTCTGCAATAAATCAAAAAAATCAGCCGGGCGTGGTAGCGCACTCATGTAGTTCCAGCTACTTGGAAGGCTGAGGTGGAAGGATCGCCGGAGCCCAGCAGGTCAAGGCTGCAGTGGCCGGGAGCGGCCACTGCACTCCAGTCTGGGCGACAGTGAGACTCCAACTCAAAATAAATAAATAAATAAATAAATAAATAAATAAAATAAAAACCCCAACTCAGTATTTATCTCAAGTGATTGTTGGGAGGAGGAAATCAACGACTAGTTCTTAGAGAAAAACGCCATGGTCATCTCAATCGATGCAGGAGAAGCAGTTGATAAGATTCAGCATTGCTGGCGGCAGTGGCTCACACCTGTCATTCCAGCACTTTGGGAAACCGAGGTGAGAGGATTGCCTGAGCCCAGGGGTTGGAGACCAGCCTGGGCAACATGGCGAGACCTTGTTAATCAATGACAGTAATCAAAAAGTTAGCCTGGTGTGGTGGTGCATGCCTGTGGTTCCAGGTATTTGGAAAGCTGAGGCGGAAGGATCTCCTGAGCCCAGCAGATCGAGTTTGCATCCGTTCAGGATTAAAAAAACAAACAAACTAGAACTAGAAGGAAACTTGAGCTTGATAAAGGCTGTCAATAAAAAACAACCTCAGCTAACCTTATACCTCAGGGCGGGGCGTGTGCGGTCTCCATGCGTATTAAGTGTTGTTCTGGCAGCCCTAGCCAATGCAATAAAGCAAGAAAAAGAAATAGTAGGCGCCCAGACTGCAGAGGAAGAAATATGGTGCTTGGTGCTGTGCTGGGCTTGGGGCACGTACTGTGATGATCACACACAGTTCCAGGCGTGGACCCTGAGCTTGGAGTGGAGGGTCCTCCCGCCCCCCGCACAGATCCTGACAGCTTGGAATGAGTGGCTTCCTCTGCTCTTAGAAGTAAACCTATGATGCTCCCTACAGCATGTGTCTGGGGGGCGGTGATAGCAGACACCCCTGCCCTATTCCTGATCTTGGGAGAAAAACATTCTGCTTCCCACCATGGATGTGAGGTTAGCTGTAGTTTGCTTGTTTGTTTGTTTGAGTCCAGGTCTCACTCTGTCAAGCAGGCTGAGTGCAGTGGCACCATCACGGCTCCCCACAGCCTCAACCTCTTGGACTCAGATGATCCTTCCACCTCAGCCTCCCAAGTAGCTGGGACCACAGGTGTGCACCACCACACCTGGCTGTTTTTTTGTTTGTTTGTTGTTTTTGAGTTGGAGTCTCACTCTGTCATCCAGACTGGAGTGCAG